CCCCCCACGGCTGAAAGGGCGAGCATGTTTGGTGTAATGGGGATTCGAACCCGCGACCCGCAGATTGCGAGTCAAGCGCCCTAACCACCTGGCCATGCCGGGCCAACAATAAATATACCTGAAATCATGTTGATGACTTTCTTAAAGTTAGACAGGCATAGTCTGGTGGTTTGGGCACTCGACTCACAATCTGTAGGTTGCGGGTTCGAATTCCATCATCGAAATGCTAGCCCTTTCAGCCATGGCGACGTTATAATGTGATGATCAACCCCACTATTCGTTGGTAAAGAGTAGCCCAAGAGTTGTCAGTGGATGGTGTTTACTAGTTTAGCTGCCTTCCCTCTAATCTATCACTTCAACATAAGGGATGGCTAGCGCAAATAACTCATAAATAAACAAAATCTTAAAATTTTAAAGCACCCGAATTGAACGGGAACAGGGTGAAACGCCTTTCCCATTATTAAAATAAGTATATATTTCGTTCCATATTTAACAAAACCAAGCACACGAGGGAACATTTCGAGGGTTAGATTTCACTAACTAGATTTGTCTTTCGGTTTGTGAAGCGTATCGTATTTTGTATTTTATTTTGTTTGTTCTTACTAAACTGTCCACGTTTTTCGATTTTGTTGCTAAATCAATGAGCTTGATGAGAAAATCGTTAGTTTCACCCGTAGATGTAGACCGCCGCATTTTTAGGCAGGTTTTGTAGGCCTAAGTTAGCCTGGTAATGTAGTGTTGGACGGATGTTCGAATTGTCACTACTTTCATATGTAGAAACATACCGTGAATTTAATTACTTTATTTGGACCCCCCCCCCCCCCCAGTGGATCAGCGGTAAGAGTGAAGGCTTAAAACTTCAAAAATCGGGTTTCAATACCCGTGATGGGCACAGCACAGATAACCCATTGTGCAGTCTTGGGCGTAACAACAAACAAAAGACAAATAAAAAAATACGATACGCTTCACAAACCGAAACAAACTTTTGCCTGATTTTCTTCTTTAATAAAAATGAAGTGAAATCTGAAGCTCAAAACGCTTAATTGGTTAGAACATCTGTGACGAAATTCAAGGTCTCGCTCTTTATGTCCTCCATTCAGAAAACTTTCGAACAACGTAGAACCGAGTACCGCTCGTAAAACGTTTATTAAGTTATGGCCGGGTGGTTAGGGCGCTCGACTCGCAATCTGAGGGTCGCGGGTTCGAATCCCCGTCCCGCCAAACATGTTCGCCCTTTCAGCCGTGGGGGCGTTTTAATGTGACGGTCAATCCCACTATTCGTCGGTAAAAAGAGTAGCCCAAGAGTTGGCGGTGGGTGGTGATGATTAGCTGCCTTCCCTC